ACATAATAATGTAAAGATGTCATTCATAACATACACATTCTCTTTCAGTTTGCGCATTATGTATTTATGGTATAATTATTGTGACAGATTATTGTGACAGATTATTGTGAAGCAACGTGAAGTATTGTTCTTTTGCGCATGTGGGTCAGAATGTGATCTTTTCAGACTAATGTCGCATATAGGTCACATTTAAAAGATAATGTGAACAGCCAAACACAAAAAACGGATTTGGTGAGAAAATCTCCACAGACCACTGCTGCTGAGGATGCTACAAAGGACGCATTACACCTAGCAACAGTCCTTTGAATGAGCCACACCGACTGTCACTGGCCTGTTTGGAAACTCCAGCCAATGGAGAAACTCCGGCCATTGATGCCTCACCTGGCAACCCAGGTGGGAGTTTCCATGGAAACCTGTCCGATCTTGCAGGAGTCCTGTGCTGGAGAGGCAGATTGAGGCTCTGACGTAAGATGAGTGCCTCTTATTGAGCCCTCAGCCTGTGCAGAATCAAGTGGGAATTTTATGTTTGATGCTTACATGAAGAGAATGTCAAACTCCTCCCCATAGCAGGTAAAGTGTGCCCTTTGGGCTTCAGCGGGGCTACAGGGCTCATCTGGCTGGCTCTCTTGCTACTTAAGTCCCGTAACAATGACTTTATTTGGGCTATGTTCAAGGAGAGTGAATCCACTGTCTCAGCCAAACTACAGGTGTACTTCGCCCATGGCAAGTCTGACCAGCCATGGATTTGCTTTTCTTCCGCAGCGCCTCTGGCTTGCTCAGTTGGCGTCATTTTACTTGTTTGCTCTCGGCAGAAGCGGGCAGCATTGTGTCATTTTCAGGATCCGGCCCTGTTAGTCTCCCCTGCCGTTGAGCTAGCAGTCACCCAGCACTTTTTGCGAATTTGATCCAATCTAAGGCAAGACAGAAATATGACATGGGGAAAGGCTGTCAATAGCTCAAGATTGTTAGGGCATCGAGTGCAACCTCCCTGAAGAAACATGATTTTAGACACAGAAGGGTTTCGAAAATTAGTAACCTTTTGAGAAGGCATTGAGACAAGGCCCATGGCGGAACTGCAGCCTGTAGATTGTTAACGTGATTTTTAAGACCCATTGGTCCGTGTCTGTACTTTTCCATTAGGCCATGTGTTGGGCCAACAGTAGTTCTGTCACTATTGTCCATGCCCTGGAGAAGGGGGGCACCATGAACTTGAAAGTGTGTGCAGGTGGCTTATAGTGGCGGGGCTGGGGTTTCACATAGGAGCTTGGCTGCGGCTCAGCACCCCAGTAATGAGTGCTCACACAGGTTAAGTGGAAGTTCCTGTGTGGTGAAAACCATGTGGCAATTGTGGGGTCTCCAGCCTAGACGACTCACAGAAGGAATAGCGGTGTTCAAGAGCTTTTCTAACCGCGGGGCTGAGAACATGGCCTGAAACTAAGAGCAGAGAGTGAATCGTCGCCCTTCATGCATTGGAAAGTATAGACTGTGCCAGCAACACTTGAGGCCGTGAACCAAATCCATCACCACCATTCTGTCATGACTTTAAGCCAGATATCCAGCTGACTGAAGGGCAGCAATAAGAGTTCATTGGTCACTTTGTTGGTGTTATGACTTTGCAAAGAAGAATGCAAGGCCAAGAGCAAAACGGGGGGAGAAAGTTAACTAGGGATACTATGATACAGTGGGCCCACAGTTCGGTATGTATCACGATTTTTGGGACACAGCAACAGTATGGTTTTGGTATTCATGTTTAAGAAAAAAGTAACCCTTTAAACAATTAACTCTTTATTGTGTTTATAGACAAACAAAACTCACCGTTCAGAAAATGGCACCATGACTGACTAGGCCTGGTTTCTGACCTTACTGTATGAAATCAAGAGGAGAAAAACTATTAAAATTAGAAGTGCTTCTTAACTTTGACAACCTGTAGATTCTTTGCCTCTTCTACTTTAAATAATTAAAGAGAGTTATAGAGGGTGTCTGGGTCAATTTGTTTTCAGTTTCTCTCTGTGATGTTCCATAGAGTTTAGGAATTACTTTGCTGCTGAAATGTGTGTGGGAGGAGACATTATGAAGGCCCCTGCACACTGGATGCACTGATTTGCGCAGCGCAGCAGAGCACTGCTATAAAATGCCAGCAGGGAGATCTGATAAAAGCCAGGTTTGAATTCATTTTTACGCTCTGTTCGTATAAATTAAAAGAAATAAAACTTTCAGCATCACTTATCATGCTTGACATTCATTTACTATCTCTTCAGAAGCTGGCTGTTTTTGAGCAGAAAGATACAAGGTGAAAAAGTCAGGTTAGTAATGTTGAGGTAACTGGCTGGTGGAGTCACTGAACACTGCTGCACGTCAGCTCAGAGTGCTGGCGCTGGTGTGCAGACCTCCAATAAATAAAAGTTTTGAAGTTTTTAGACGCTGCATGACGCGACACTGTGCATCTGGTGTGCAGTGGTCTTAACTTCTCTCCGTCTTGCTAGTGCTCACCATTGCCACATTGGAGCTGAGAGAATGTATGTTTTTAGTTCTCGCTCTTTTCTCCAGCTCTTATTTGCATACAGAACGCAGATAAGCTCCAAGGAAATTCTCACAGGCTCCAGAGATGATCTGTGGATTTCACTGCTTAATGTGCATGTAAACTGAAGCACAAATGACAGGCATATCGTAAAACTGTGGTTCACATGTGCATTTTGAATTGTAAAGGGCATACCAGTGTTTCTATAACATACTGTATACCGTTGCATCCCTAGAGTTAACAAACCTGGCCACCCTGGTAGTTGCATCATGTGCCCTGGAAGAGAGCGTCTACAACTCGCACTGGGCCAGCGTGGGTCAGGGTGCACACCACTAGTCCAGTGGCAAAGCTCTTTCCTTAACACTGAGCTTGCCCAAGGTGGGGGGAGAGTTGCAATCCTTGTCATTCTGAGATACCGCAGAGACGTTCAGGTGAGGTCGGATGAGGAGACGTTGTATATTCTGAATCTCCAGGCAGCTCCATCTTAGCCTTCAGCTCACATTGAGCAGCAAGCTTAGCCAGCACAAGCTTCAGGGCATTTTGAACCTTCGTGCTATTGCTGTGGACTGAGTGCTTGCCTTGGAATACCAGGGTGAGGTGGAAAGAGGCTCTAGACACCTGGCTGAGAAAAGTTGTTCTGAAATTCTGTGTCCGATGCCAGAGTGGAAAGCACATCTGTGGCTCCATCCACTGTAAAATCTGAATCTCCAGGCAGCTCTGTGGAGGCCTCTTGAACTCTGGCTCACACTGAGCACTAAGCTGGTTATTAAGTTCTTTGAAAAGGGTCCTTAGCTGAGTCATCAGAAAATTAGTCCATCCATTTAGTTAATACAGTGGACCATTTTTTCTTACATGCTCTATTTGGGGGCCACTTGGTTGCTTTCCTTGCTTTCCTTTCCATTGCCTTCCTTTGCTCCTGAATTCCAGGCCTGCTGGTCTGTCTTGGCGACAAGCTAAGGGGATGATTGTGAAGATTATGCATGGGTTAACCAGTGCTTGATGGAGGTGGTCTAACCCAAGGTAATACATGACCGGTATTAGCACCATGTTAGTTGTGGCATGCTATCTGACCGTATTGTGAAAACATCCAGTTCCAATGTGGGTTGGTTGAGGCTTCTGGAATCTGAGATACTCACCTGAAGGTTGGTGGCTAAGCTTGTTCCCCAACACAGAGATGCTCTAGGTGTGGTCGGACAAGGAGTCAGTGACCACAGCCCATAGAAGATAAAAGAGTTTCAAAGCTCTGACACTATGAAATGGTGTTGCCGGGCTGCATGGTCGGTATGATGGTGAGAAGTTTGCAGTGAGTGACAGGATGTTATAGCCTTTGTGACATCACGTACAGGGGTCACAGGGTGACTCTTTTGGTCTGAAGCTGCATAAGCAGGGAAATATCCACTCAGTAAGTATTGTCAGGAGATATGAAACAAAACTAAAAATCAAGCTCCACTCTTGCTTCAGATTAAAAAAAAATCTGCATGTTTTTCTGTCTATATTTGACTGTGACTGGACAACTCAATGCTATGGGTCTAAACGAATATGTAGCTCTCAAGAAGCCTTTTCTGAGAAAAGGAAATAGACCAAATTAAAAAAAAATCACAAATTAAACAAAGAAGCTGCTGGTGTTTGCAGAACAATAGACTGGCCATCACAGAGCCCAACATCACTAAATGTGTTTGGGATTATTTGGATTATGAGAAGCAGAGAATGCAACCAACTTCTAAGACTGAACTTTGGAGGTGTGGAAAAATATCACTGCAGGTTTCATTGAAAAAAAGGAAACTGTAATAAGGGCAAAGGGTGGACACATTCAATACTGGCAAATTTCTATATTTTATTTAGTTCTTGAGGTTTCTATGTTTCTATTTTTTTTTTCAACTGAAAATTATTACTTTTTTATTTACCTTAAATGAAGGGTGGTCTCTGTCTTTTGCACAGTAGTTTAATTGCTTGAAAACTATGCGCAGAGAGAGAATTCTTCCTCTCTGCCTGAAGAAACAACTCTTTCAGCACTTTACCCATATTAATATGTAAGTAAATAGGATGGTGCGGTAAATGTTTTATCATCATATTAATCAATATAAAATGAATAACTTTTTCCAGCTGAATGCTGAAAACAAAAAGGAGAAAATTTCACTTTCTTACTAGCAGTGGTTATTGCGGTAATTTAGTTGAAATATTATTAGTTATTTTTAGATAATGAATTATCTTAATTGTTTTCTGTGTTGTTATTTTTATTATTATTTATTACGCTTACTTTATTTTCAGTTGAAAGAGAACGTTTGTATAAAACTGAGAAAACTGGGCGTTACTACATAAAATAATATTTTTACGCCTAAAAGTTGAGCAAAAGTAGGCTGCTTTGTCTAGTTGTCTAGACCAGGATAATCCACTCGTCACTGAATAGATTTGTGGCAACTAAAGTGCATGGTAATGTTCCAGGCGTGGCCTTATTAATATTCATGAGGACGTGCTGACACAAGCTCCGTGGGAAAAAAAGTTTGAGTTTACAAAGTTTCCGACGACTGGAGAGACAGCAGCAGTAGAGCAGGCAAAGAGGAGCAGAGGCGAATAACCTTGAAACATTTTCATCTGTATAACCATAGGAGATGTTTTTCAGCCTTATGTTAACTTTCTTAAGTTAGAAAAAAAAATCACTGCAGGCCTAAACTGTTTTGGTGAAAACAGGCCTCTCTTCTTTTTTAGCAGCTTCGTCTGGGTGTTTTGAGGCGAGAACACCGTCGCTTCTCCCCTTCTCCCAACTTTTTTCCGCCGAGCGAAATGAGCAACAACCCAGTCCAGCCTCTGCCGGGCCATCAAGTCATCCATGTGGCGAAGGACCCGGACACGGACCTTGAGGCGCTCTTTAACGCGGTCATGAACCCCAGGCCGAGCTCCTGGAGGAAGAAGCACTTGCCCGAGTCCTTCTTCAGGGAACCGGACTCAGGCTCGCACTCGCGTCAGTCTAGCACGGACTCGGGCAGCGGACCGGCCAGGCTGGCGGCGCAGCACGTGCGCTCGCACTCCTCCCCCGCAAGCCTGCAGCTCGGCCCGGGGGCAGGGGCAGGAGCCGGACCGAGCCCTTCTCACCACGTACACATCCGTCACCAGTCGTTCGATGTCACTGATGAGCTGCCACTGCCCCCTGGGTGGGAGATGGCCTACACTTCCAACGGTCAGAAGTATTTTCTCAAGTAAGTGTAATATTGTTCTAATGTGAACTTTACTATAGCCATCAATTTCCCAACTGTTATGAAAACCTATTGAATCTGTTAGATGTTTCGCCCACAGTCACTAACAATGTACATTAGACATGGAATTATGCCAGTTCTTATTTTCCGATACCGATATTGAAACCATAAGTATCGGCTGGTGCCAATCTAATGTTTTTTTCTTCTTAATACTAAGCTTTAAAATAAGCCACTTTTATTGAAGCACTTTCCTTAGGACAAGCATTTGAAAGTAGGCTACAAGGCTTAGATGAAGAATGCTCGAGATCGAGTTTCGCTGTGATCTCTGGTCAGGTAGTGCGAATCAAGGTGTGCTGACAGAAAACTCGGCCATGTTATCTGGGTGGATCAGTAAAGTAAAAACACCAGTTCACCATGTCCTACACCTTTTACGCAGTGATCAAGACTCTTTCTCACCCTGATAAAAAGGTTTGTTAACACATCTTTGCAGGCCCCCATCTTGACATCTTGCTAACTTGAACCCCCTGGTCCGGCTCATTGTAAATTAGCATTTTGAGTCTGTTCTCTGTAGGAATGAGGGGGGTAAGCAAACCTTTTCTTCTTAAGCCCTAGGGACACAATGGTTATCTTGGTACAGTTGATAAGTCACTAAGGCTGTGCTTAGCTCAGTGGGGTGTCCACTGTAGGATTCGTAAACTGAGAACCTCCTACAACATACCCGCAACTTGTACTGGGGTGATAAAAGAGCGAGATTAGGACACTGTAATTTTGCTGCTGTATGTAATCCACATCAGGTTTACATGTGTGTTAAAACAGCTGCCCTGAAAGTTTCCCATTCCTGCCCTACAGGGGCTATCAGATGTTGTTTAGGATTAAAGCAGTCTTAATTTATTCATTTATTGCATCAGGTTGATCATATATAATGTATGATATATTTTTGTCTGTAGCAACATCACTCATAAACCTATAAATATTACAGTGTAGCACTGTATTTAAAGCAGAAGGGTGTAAGTGATTTGCTTTGGCGCACGTTCAGAAGACTGGTGCTGTTTCGGCATCTGTGCGGATGTAGGGTTCTTCTCTTTCCGAACAGCCTTGCTACATTTAAAGCAAACATGTTAGTGCCTGCCACACATTCAGTTGGCACCTCCACCATCAACAAAGCTGCAGTGCTGGGCCTCCCTCCACCCTGCAATTAAACATTCAGGAAAACAAAAGTCTGCGTGTCGTTGGTAATTACTTATTCAGTTAATGCCCCTGCTGCCTCTGCACACCTTGGAAAGCCTGTGGGTGTTTTTGAGGAAGCCTATTAATACCTGAAATAATGGTCTTCCCGGTATTCAGTCTTCCATATTATTCCTTACTACTTCCTGCCACCGACCCTGAGCTTAAACATTGACAGAAGATTATCTTATAATATCCATGAGCTTATTTCCTTTGTAGGACAGTTGACAGTAACTTATTTTAGAAGTTAAGCACTGAAAATACAACACTATCCTATTGAACCACAGATAGTAATGACTGTTTGAAGTATGATCTTGCACTCTAACAAAGTGATATAACTTGTCTTTCCTCTCTTTGGTAAATTTAAGTCTTTCACCACCCCCAACCCCTCTACATGCACGGCTCCAAAAGCATCTTTCACTAGCTTCAAAAGCATCAATGTGCAATCTGCAGATCCACCGTTGATATTTACACCACGTCAAACCTGTTTTGGTTCTGGATAGGGTTTTTCAGTGTTTTTTTCCGAAGCCACAAGAAGAGCCTTGTATCCTCTCAGTATTTGAAAGTGAGCTGATTGCTAAAGTATGATGAGTGACGGGCCCAGTAATGGCTAGTTTTAAGTGATGGCACGCTTGCTGCCGTAACCCAGACTAACCCAGAAGTAATGAAGTTCATGAAATTATTGCAGTGAGCATCAGCTGTGTTGGTGTTGTAGAGGAAATCAGAATTTACAACCTCTATGTTCAGTGAGGCGGTAAGAGCAGAGCTTGCAGCTCACTAAAGACGCTGGAAGCCTTTTAAATACACAATGTGAAGAAAGGGGATTATGAGGCATTGAATTTTTCAGAACTCTTTCATGCTGAGGCAGTCTGTAATCAAGCGTCTCTGTAATATCTCAGAAAGCTTGGAATCCTCAAGGCCTGTTCTGGACTTTTTTCTTTTCAGATTCTGTAATTGTTTTTCAGCTGTGTACAGTGTGTTGGTACAATCATTGTTTGCACTTGGCCTGTTACTGTTCCTGTTAAGACTGGTTGATTGTTCCTGTTGAGTCTGAATTGAATATGAATTATCAGAAATTCTTAGAAATATTTGGGGTTTGTATTCAGGTTGGACATTTATACTGAAACTTGTGTAGTTTTTGAGTTTTCGTCTCCAGCTGAGTAGGGTACGCCCGCTCTGATAATAGGTAATAATAAGTAATAGTTAATGAATGGATGTGCAGGTTGGGGAACATGTGATGCAAGAGGCTCTCTTTGATAAAGCCCAATGCATCACAGAAATGAGGGCTATCATTTGAGCTACAAATGTTACAGCAAACCATCCGTTAACATAGTCTTTTTTTTTTTTTAAACCAAAAACTGAGAAACTAGTCACCCAAAGTGCCTTGTTGTAGACACTGACTGCCGGGTTACCTAAAAAGAATAGAGGCAGTTGGCTTCCTAAAACTAAATTTTTCCCCTCACAATTTTTTTTTGAAGTTTAGTTGTGTGCAGGTTTAGAATCAGAATCACTTTATTTCATCAAGTATGTTACACATACAATGAATTTGTGTTGGTGAGTGCACACATGTATGACATGTAACTTACTGAACAGATCAGACAAGCAGACTGTTAAGAAATATTTCACTAAGGGAAAATTAAAATAAAAATACAATAAATAGAATAAAGAATAAGACCTTGTCCCAACAGAGGTAGTACAGTTAATTTAGCTGAAATATAAACGAGGGCATGGTGTATCCTCCCATTCTAAAGCTTATCTGGGGGCTGTAGCATGCAGACTGCCCTTGACTGCTCATTGTATCAGGCACAGGAGGTAAAGGCAATAGAAATTGTAAAAAATAAAGATACAAAACAATGGCTGCAGGGCTCCTGAGAATTTTTAATGGAGTCTCAGCCTGCTGCTATCTGTAAAGCAGGCATAACAAACGTGCTTGTGGAGACAAGAGCTAGTCTGGGTTTTCTTTGTCTGTTCTGGAGTCTGCAAGATGCTGGCCATGCTCACTATGGTTCTGGAGCACTCACAGGGTACTTCAGAATCTCTTTGAGCTAACTGGAAGCTATTCCACTCTAGTATATCAATTGGATGGGTATGAATCTCTGTTTGTTTGGCACTGGATGGCTAAGGCTTGCCTGGCTGGCCTTCTCCTCCAGTGATGGCAGCCATTAAGACAAGAGACCCTTTGTAGCTTTGTAGTTTTTTTGAATCGCCTCTGGGCCTTGCATGACTTTCAGATATAAATTGTATGAAAGCAGTTACACATGAAGGAAATGTCATGTGGGCTGAATTTAAAGCAGTCAATTTGTGACCTGCGTATTCACTCTAGATTTAAACAGAGCTACTTGCAGACAAAGGAATCTTGCTTTCTGTTTGTTACCAGAAAGGGTTACTGTTGAAATCGAATGGAGTAGAGATGGACTCAGTAACAATAGAACATAATTAGTTAATTTGTTTTAGTTAAGTAAAATCTTCAGGGAATCAGCAACAACACATAGAACTCCAGTAATAAGTTGCGTGTAAGTTCTTTAGGTTGCAAAGTCCTATCTTATGAAGTGGTCAGCTCTGCGAGGAGCCGCCACTCTTATTTACAACAGGTGACAGACTGCTGTCGAAGTTGCACCAAGCCTGGGCCACTGAGAAAATGGAGACCCAACATATAGAACCAGCCTGTTATTTATGATCTTTGGGCTTTAGAAAGGGCTAGTTTGATACCTGACCTTTGCAGGCTTTCTAAAAAGACAAGTTTTTTCCCAGCAGCAGGACACTGTATGCCTCTTACTTGGGTTCTATTGTTTCAGAGTGAAAAATTTTATTGGGAATTTGCTCTTGCTCAGATCTCGCCTGCGCCATGTTTGCATCACTACAAACACTCAGAAACAAAGAGACCCTTTAGAGCAATGTGTGATCCTTCCCTCGGAGTGCTATATTCTGGTAGATAAGATGATCTATTTATAATGCTCTGAGGGCCAGCCTTGATTGAGTTAATGCAAGCTTGGCGAGATGGCAGAGAGAGAGAGTGTGTGTGTGTGTGTGTGTGTGTGTGTGTGTGTGTGTGTATATGTGTGCGTGCAAACAGTTTTGTGCTCAGATCAGTCAATAATCCAATATACGTGAGTTTGCCTAAATGGCTGAATGGGAGCTGGAGGTGTCGGACAGAGAGATCTTTGTTTACACGGCACAGTGCCGCCCCTTTGAGCCGTATGCCACTGTGGTTTATGATGTTTAAATAAAGAAGTGGGTCTCTGGCCAGCTATCGACTTTTGTAGATGGTGCGGCTGACCTTCTGCAGACGTCCCCTTACGGGAAGACAGCTGAGAGCCTTTAGCTGGAGAAGATTGGAGATTACAACACACACACTCGTGTACTCTCACCTCACTGTCAGTTTACAGACTTTAACCCCGAACATCAAACAGAAAAGCCCAAGAACTCTTCCAAGAACTGTATTTCTTGTGTTTGAACCTCACAATGAAGTATATGTAAACTTGGCTGCACACACTGTCCTACTTCACCATTAGTTTAAATAATTTTAGTAATTGTTTATCTCTAGTTGAATTATTTTTTTTAGCCGATTCAGTTTCGAGGCATTTCTTTTGTGTTTCTGATTTAGCCATCATGTCTGATTTAGGTTTCAGATTTATATTAATTCAACAATTTCTGTGTTTGTTTTATAAAACAATTGTAACAATTTAATGTCTCACTGTGTTTTTCTGACTTGAGACTGCTGGACCGTTTTAGTGTTGTGTTTAGGTATTTTAATGTTATACATTTCCATGTGCTTCATG